AACTCTTTTGAGTTCATAAGTTTAGAATGCTGGAGAAGATGGAGAGTGGATGTACCTGTGCTATTTCAAATTTTCTAACCACTGATTATAATAATCACACGGATCCTAACCATGTAGTCCATAGTTATTAAGATTGTAAAGTCCAGTTTCCAGTGATTTCATGGACTCATCCAATTTTTTAATTTGGTCACCACTACCTTTCTTACACCCTAGTCCTGCATAAGAAAACACCACCCGTTGAGGTAGGCGTTATGTGAGCACACGTAATGCATGTATCGACCACCACATCAACCGATTTTCAATTTTTACCTAGTACTCTATTCCTAATCTAGACAAGGTTACTCAATTGTCTCAAAATGCGTGAGCAATGCTTCGAAGATATCTCTGATTGAATACTAGTGACTTACGAATATCCCCTAATCTCAGTGATCATTTCTTACATACATAAAGTAGAACAGAGCGAACTACTGCGCTTTAAATTCTCCCTCTGTTTGGAAGACCGATATCTCGTCTAAGGCTCAAGTGATGCAAGTTTGCAAAAACCTATCAGGACTTCTAACGTTGTGCCTAAATTTCGGAAGATACCAAATCATCAGGACTGCATTTTGTCAGCGTCATTACCAAACAAAACCATATTATCTGCGTATTCTAAGTCAAAAAGTGAATCTTCTGGCAGAAGATTGATCTTTAACAAGTCAGACGATTAAAGTGTTATCTGTAAAAGTATGTCTATGACAAACGTAGTTATAAATAATAAAGGCGGGCAACGCTGACCAACACTGTGCGAAGTGACCAATTTTGATGACTTCGCCATAAGCTTTAACTCAACCAGAACTGTTCGAGTGGAGAACATATTTGAGGTTAATGTATTACCTCCGTACGCCTTGCGATGACATATATATTGCCACAGTACATCATGACCAATCGGGTCAAACGCCGTTTTAAGTTGGAGGAATACAACTCTAGTCGGATGTCGAAAAGTATCTCTGTGTTGCAGAACCTTCCGATGGGTGATTAGTTGGTATATACATCCACGTACAGATCTGAAACTAGTCTAGTTTTCTAGGGTTCGCCCTTCACGAGCTCTTTCTTATTTTATACTAGTAAATATAACTGCTGTTTCCAAAGCTGTTTGGATATAACGTCGAGCTACTTTTCACGGTTGACTAACTTCTTTGGTTGCACTTGAAATATATTCTTGATTTTTTCATCATTACGTTGAACTTTAAGAGAGTTTCCGTGTTGTGGCTTTTCAATGTCCGATAAGATGAAGACATATACGTCCTCCGACTGGACAAATCAGACACTTCTATTTAAGTGGAGATCGGCTTAGAAACGTTCATCGATTTATTTACATATTTCATGATTGTCTGTTGCCTTTTTGACAATCTCTTAATTAAAATGAGAATATACTGTGATTGTAAGGATTTTAATATTTGAATTCATGAGTCAATTAAACCTAGACCCCCATTTAAACGTGTGAACACTCAACGGCCGTTTCGTTCTAGTATGAGACTCCTAAACAGTGCGTATCCACGATCCCGTGCACGCAACTCAAATCCAGGACCTTTGGTCTTATGTTCCAACGCTTAACTTCTATACCACTGAGTCGGCATGGGGATCTTGAATACGCATCACTCAGGAATCCTATACTAGAACGAAACGGCCGTCCAGTACTTCCAGGTTTTCAATCCCATACTTGTACATAGATCTTGAGAATTTGTTTTCTGTGCATCTTACAACTAACTTTCAATTAGTGAGTATCATCAATATTACTACTATCATTACTACTACTAACTGATATCACTATAAAACGAAGAAAATAGGTCATAAGAGTAGAAAACATTAATACAATTGCAAATGTATATACTTCTGTGTATATATATGTGTGTGTATGTGCACATTAAGGAGAACAGACAAGTAGCACAGATAATCATCTTATTTACATAAGGCTAAATGAGATATCAGGGTTATAATGATGAAAAAGGAAAAAAATAGCCTGAAGTAAGAAAAAATTAAGGGTTCATCTAAATGAACAATTTATTGCCATGGTTCTTATTCCTATTAGGAATATTGACTGAAAATTAAGATATAATATGAGAAGAAACTCACCCGCTGTTCAATTGAGTGTTAATTTTTTTTTTTAACAAAACACATTGACAAATAGTTACTACAAAGCTGGTCATTAATATCTTCTTCTTTGTGAATAAAATATCAATACAGGGTTGTGGAGATTATTAAGTTTTTGATTGAGATCATGAATCAATTGATTTTAGACCACCATTGAAAACCTGGAAGCATTAGACGGTCGTTTCGTCCTATTTTGGGACTCCTCAGAGGTTAAGTGTTCATGTGCAAGACTAAAGGCTCTGGGTTTGAATCTCGCGAGGTGGGATCGTGGATGCACACTGTTGAGGAGTCTCAAAATGGAACAAAACAGCAGTCCAGTGCTTAAAGGTTTTCAACGGTCGTCCAACAATAATCGCTTCATGATCATAATGAAAAATTCAACAATTGTCACAACTCTATACTGATAATTACCATGTGCTCACCAGTGACTAGCTTCGTGAGGGAATTCTTGGAGTTCTCATGAGAAGCCGTGACCAGTGGAACTAATCCATGTCAGATAGAGATAGGTATCTACCTTAGTAAAATAGTGAATGATCGAGCAATTTCGTGAATTGGTTGAGGTTAGACACTAACACCGTTCGCTGCTGACTCAGTGGTCCAGGGATTAGGCGATCGCACGCGAGACTAAAGGCACTGGGTTCGAATCTCGCGAGGTGGAATCGTGGATGCGCACTATTTAGGAGTCCCTCAAAAGAACGAAACGACCATTCAATGCTTCCAGGTTTTCAATGGTGGTCCAACAATAATCAGTTCATGATCTTCATAATAAAAAATACACTAAGAATGATTTCTGACAGATCATTCTTGAAGTTGAACCAGTAAAACTGTTGAAATTATTCATAATATCAGGGAATACATCTTGTTTAGTTCATTCATATTTAGAATTCATATTTGAATACAAGTTATAAAAGAGAGTGAATTACTTAAAGTTAAATATCATTTGCCATTTATAATGAAACTTTTTCATTAGGTCCTTGAGTTGTTTTTTTGTTGAATTACATAAAAGAAAAAAATTTATTAGAACGTTGTTCTCCAAGATGATCCGAGTACATTCTAAAGATCCAGTATGGAATAGCCAAAGAGCTTTAATCAATACTCATCATAATATTAGAGTTTATTGTTAGACGTCAAACTAGAAAGTGAAACTTCATAGATCGTACTCCCCCCCTTCAAAAAAAATCGATTGCTTACTTACTTACACCTGTTACTCCTCGTGAAGGAACATAGGCCGCCGCCCATCAGCATTCTCCATCCAACCCTGTCCCAAGCAATCCTTTCCAGCTTTTTCCAGTTGTAATTCATCCTCTTTCATAACTGCTTCTATTTCCCTACGTAATGTGTTGTTTGGCCTTCCTCTTTTCCTCTTCTCTTTAGGATTCCAAGTTAGCGCTTTCCTCGTAATGCAGTTTGATGATTTCCTCAATGTATGTCCTATGCACTTTCAACATCTTTTCTTAATTTCCTCTTCAGCTGGAAGTTGGTTTGTTCTCTCCAACAGTAGACTATTGCCGATGATATCCGGCCAATCAATGTTGAGCGTCTTTGAAAGGTAATGTGTAATTCAATAAGCTTACTTACTTAGCTAGTTAGATGCGCCTGTTACAACTCGTGAAGGAGTATAGGCTGCTCATCAGCATTCTCCATTCAACCCTGTCCTAAGCAGTCCTTTCCAGCTCTTTACAGTCGCTATTCATCCTCTTTCATAACTGCTTCTAGTTCCCGACGTAATGTGTTCTTTAGGCTTCCTCTTTTTCTCTTCCCTTCACGATTCGAAGTTATGGCTTATCTCGTGATACAGTTTGATGATTTGCTTAATGTATGTGCTATCCACTTTCAACATCTTTTCCTAATTTTTTTTTTCAGCTTGAAGTTGGTTTATACTCTCCCCTAGAATGATGTTGCTGATGGTATCCGGCCAATGAATGTTGAGTATCTTGTGTAGACAACTATTTATAAATACTTGTACCTTCTTGATGATGGTTGTAGTAGTAGTTCTCTAAGTTTCAGCTCCGTACAGCAGAACTGCCTGTAACTCTTCTAGTGTTACTGCCGGTCCCAAACCCGGATAAAAGAGAAGGGTTGAGAATGAAGTTAGCGACTCCATCTATTAGAAAACTAACTCGCCAAAAAAGAGAAACACTAACCAGAAAAAAAATAATTCTAATTATAGATAATCATTTATCGTCATAATTGATTTTCATCATTCACTAGAATGGTATACAATACTACAATTAACTAACCCTCTTCAAAAACTATTCATGTTAACCTTTTGATTGTCTGCTTAGGAGGATTTCTGGAATCCCTGCAGATGGATATTTGATCCCGTTTGTTGGGAATATTTTTATCGATTTTCAGCGCGCTACTTTGCGTTAGAGAAATGTTTGACTGTATAGCACAGGTTGTACCGTTTGAGAACCGTTGAAATTGAGCATAGAATTTGTGTTTTGATATAATTTCATACGAGTGTCTCAAAAACGCTTAGTGAGCTATACATAAAAGTGTAGTCTGGCCTATTCGAATATAATTTGGTTCGTTAGTCCTGCGTTCAAACCGAATACTAGCAGTTCGGTCTCTACAATTCATAAATGAATAATTTATTCGTTCCTTTTCGCATGATGATGATGATGATAATAATGATGGTGGTGGTGATGATGATTCCATGACCTCAAATTAATTAATTTAAAGTAAACAATAAATAAACATCGATTAACTGACCATGTGTATGTAGGTATGTTAACGACATGTTTACAACATGTCGTTAACATTCATTGACTTGTTATCTGTTTATCAACAACAAGAAAAAATAGAATTGAACAGATGACGAAAACAATTAGATAACATAGTTTTATGTTTTATGTGACAAATTAAAATTATCTTTTGTTATTATTACCGTTGGTAGTAATCATAATAATAATAGCGATTGTGATACTGACAGTAGTAGCAGTAGTAGTAGTAGTAGTAGTAGTAGTAGTAGTAGTAGTGGTAGTAGTAGTCGTAGTAGTAGTCGTGGTCGTAGTAGTAGTAGTAGTAGTAGTAGTCGTAGGTGTAGCAGTAGTAGTAGTCGTAGTAGTGGTAGTAGTAGTAGTCGTAGTAGTGGTAGTAGTAGTAGTAGTAGGTGTAGCAGTAGTAGTAGTCGTAGTCGTAGTCATAGTAGTGGTAGTAGTAGTAGTAGTAGTCGTAGGTGTAGCAGTAGTAGAAGTCGTAGGTGTAGCAGTAGTAGTAGTGGTAGTAGCAGTAGTAGTAGTAGTAGTGGTAGTAGTAGTCGTAGTAGTAGTCGTGGTCGTAGTAGTAGTAGTAGTAGTAGTCGTAGGTGTAGCAGTAGTAGTAGTCGTAGTAGTGGTAGTAGTAGTAGTCGTAGTAGTGGTAGTAGTAGTAGTAGTAGGTGTAGCAGTAGTAGTAGTCGTAGTCGTAGTCATAGTAGTGGTAGTAGTAGTAGTAGTAGTAGTCGTAGGTGTAGCAGTAGTAGAAGTCGTAGGTGTAGCAGTAGTAGTAGTGGTAGTAGTGGTAGTAGTAGTAGTAGTAGTAGTAGTAGTAGTAGTAGTAGTAGTAGTAGTAGTAGTAGTAGTAGTAGTAGTAGTAGTAGTAGTAGTAGTAGTAGTAGGTGTAGTAGTAGTAGCACCAGAGGGGCTCCAGGCGGAGTTATTCATGTTTTAATCTCGACATTTTAACTTAGTCTATTCTAGGCGTTTCCTATATAATGCATGTATATTTGTTTTAATGAATAATACTATGGTTTTAGGATGTGAGTAGCTGAGGAGAATCCATAAAATAAATGAATTCATGTTATTTTCCTATGATATTTGATCGTTCATTATTCAAGTTTATACATATATATATATATATATATATATATATATATATATATATATATATATATATATATATATATATATATATATAAGAAAGCTTTATAGAAAGAAATTGCTGTCAGTTCATCATATATAGCTTTGCAATAATATTTAAAAGAATGACATTATGTAATGAAGGTTCGAATCCCACAGAGACCATTAATTACTTCGAGGTTGTAGATGAAGTGTGAGATAGCGTGAAACTTGGGTCAAGCAGCGCTTTCTTTCTAATCAACTAACATTAAAACACATTACATATAATGTTTAGTCTCTTCTAGCAGTAGTTACGTTGCTAGTTAGTCATCAGAATTCGACAAGTTCTAAAGATTATACAAATATAACATTGATTACTAGCCAATTATCTATCTATATATTCGATATCTGTAATAAATTGTCATGATTAGAAGGATTTATATCGTGATTAATACATCACTAATCTTATTTAATTTCAATGGTTAAGATCATGAGTCAGTTGAAGCTAGACCACTATGGAAAACCTGGAAGCACTGCTGAGGAGTCCCACAATAGGACGAAACGGTCGTACAGTGCTTCCAGGTTTTCAATCATGATCTAGCTTACACCAACTATTAAAATTAGTACAAACCATGTACTCATTAGTGACTGGTATCAAGATGATTTCATGGAGTTGTAGTGTGAATCCATGATCACTGGAGTCTACCATATACAATGGATAAATGATTGAGGAAGATCATGGATCGATTGAATTTAGACATGAACACCGTTGAATACTAGCTCAGTGGTCTAGTGTTTTTTAGCATTCACGTCCGAGATCAAAGGTTCTGGGTTCGAGTTCCACGTTAAGGATCATGGATACTCACTATTGAGGAGTCCCATACTATGATGAAACGACCATCAGGTGATGTCAGGTTTTCAGTGGTGGTCTAGCTTCTAATCAACTCACGAATTCAACTATTAGAATTACTACAATCTCCACACACACACACACACACACCCATTCTAATAACAATCCCAATTTATCTCATGATAACAATCTTCATATTTTCTCATTCTTTATTATATCACTTAATTATAATCAATAATATGAATGGCATCATTATACAGTAAACATTTATATGCTTATCAACTAAAAATGAATGATTTTAAAATCTGAATAAAAGTACAGTTTACTAATCTCCCCTTTTTAATCTATGATACCTTTCGAAATATTTAGATAATTTCCACCCCTCTCTTTCTCTCTCTCTCGCTCTTTATTTTATTTAATAAATGTATGCATAAAACAGCATAACAACAATAACAACAACAACAACAACACACACACACACACTTTGATCATATGTATAATTTACAAAACACTTGTATCCAACATATTTGTATACTGTTTAAACAAAAATAATATTTATTTATTTATGTGTTCAGTGTTATGTCAACACCACCACCGCCACCATCACCAATACCGCCTCCACCCCCACCAATAACAACAAACCCAATTAATTGATCTGTGTACTATTGATTTGTATTATGTTTTTATTTTTTAAAATAAAAACTAGTCTTATTAGCTTACAGATACATGTTTATACATTCCGGAATACTCTTTAAAGTATAAGCTGCAATTTTGTTTATTTCAGATAGTTTTCCTAATGGTAGTTTGTTACTATAAGCCAAATTATAAATGAAATATGACTTATCAGCGTTAGATACTCTGTGTGTTTTGTTGTTGTTGTTGTTGTTGTTGTTGTTGTTGTATAACATAGATATATGCATGTCACTCTAGATGAGAATGGATATACAGTATAAACTGTATACTCAGTCAACAATAGTATTATGGCTAATGATGACTATGTAACAGAAAAATGTAAAGTAAAAAAACAGAGAGAGAGAAAGAGAGGGAGAGGAGGAGGAAGTGAGAAAGAGAGAGGGAGGGGGAGAGGGAGGGAGGGAGAAAAACACCATGAAATTTAGAATATATTAGAGCAGAACAATTGTTCAATGTTATTTAGTTTCCAATGCATGTCTGATTAAGGTCAATTCGTAATATAAACTAGAATACATTCAATAACGACAATGATGATGATGATGATGACGACAACAACAACGAAATTATATAAATCTGTTACAAGTGAACTAAAGAAACTGTTAATATTTCCATGTAGAATGATTCATATATAAGAAATTACATACCTTATGTTGTGATTAAATAAACATTAAATCAAGATAATAAATAAACATAAATAGATAGTGGCCGATAATGGAATCTAGGACGCGTGTTTCGTCTTATTGTGGGACTCCTCAGCTAGGTCGTGGATACGCACTGCTGAGGAGCCCCATGCTAGGACGAAACGGCCGTCCAGTGCTTCTAGGTTTTCCATGGTGGTCTTTTTATTATTTTATTTTATTTTAACACATAAATATCGGTACAAGAAGGCACCAAATACATATGCGCCACACAGATCTCATTTGATATGTGTGAGGGCTATTATGCTACCCGGGTGCCCAAACCGAACCAGGTGGTTTTCTTAGGGGGCCACACCCCGAGCCTTCGATCTGAAGATCTGATCCACAAGGCAGTGGAGCATCGTGAGGAGATGCAGTCCCATGGTAGCCGGTGACCAACGATTGGTTCATACGCCATTTGTTCCCGCAGGATACTGGAGCCCTTGTGCACCATTGGTTTGGGGTCCGATTAAAGCGCCGGACATTCGCTTTTCGTCCTCTCATTTTTGTAAACAACACCCCCGCCACGTGAAGGCAGTGAGTAGGACTTCCCTGGCAGGGGCTGTATACGCGTGGCCATATGAGAGCATTTCGAGAGGGAGAGCGGACTCCCCCCACTCTCGGCCGTACCAGGGCATTTGGGGGCATGGTGGTCTAGCTTCAACTGACTCATGATCTTAATCATTTAAATTGTTATAATAAAAACACAGGATTTGGATGAATATACAGAGAATGACATTTGATTATAACTATTAGTCAAATCATAAACATCCCTGTTACACTATTCAATATTTTCAACAATTTGTATGCTTTTGAATTTCAGTAAGTGTTAATGTTATTTGGTTAGCGCTTTTTTAGCGAGGATGCAGCTGAACGATCTAGACCTTGCAGATGGTTTGGCTCTTCTATCGCACACGCAACAACAAATAAAAGAGAAGACGACCAGTGTAACAGCAACAGGTCTCAACATACACAAAAGGAAAAGAAATATTCTCCGATACAACAAAACATACACACCAATCAGATCACACTTGACGGAAGATGTAAAAACCTTTACATATCTGGGCAGCATCATTGATGAGTATGATGGATCTGATGCAGATGTGAAGGAGCGGATCAGCAAACTAAGAGCAGCATATCTATAATTGAACAACATGTGCAACTCAAAACAGCTGTCCACGAACCAACAGCAAAGTCAGAATCTTCAATTCGAATGTGAAACCAGTTCTACTGTATGGGGCGGAAAGTTACAGAACTACGAAAGTCATCATCCACAAGATACATGTGTTTATTAACAACTATCTACGGAAAATACCTCACATGGGATCCCCAAAGTCAAAGGAGGAGGAGAAGAGGAAGACGAAAGAACACATTACTTTGAGAAATGGAGACAGATATGAGAAAAATGAACAACAGTTGAATAGAACTATTAAGTCCGAGGACAAACATTTTAATCATCTTACTATATTCACGTTAGAATTCGTTACTAACTAATTAAGTCTACTGTTATAATTCATATTACATAATCTAGTAATATCATCTTTCTATTACATTATCTTAGTTATAGCTCGTTCATATGTCCTCATGAAACTGGTACTTTAACAAAACGTTTTCATATATACACGATTGTACATAAATATTGGTACCAAAAGGCACCGAATACATATGCACCACAAAAGTCACTTGATTTATGTGTGGGTTATGATATTGCCCGCGTACCCAAGCCGAATCAAGTAGTTTTCTTAGGGGGCTACACCCCGAGCCTTTGACAAAATGGTCTGATCCACAAGGCAGTGAAGTAACATTAGGAGATGCAGTCCCGTGGTAGTCAGTGACCAATAATTGATTCATACAACATTTGTTCACTCAGGATACTGAAGTCCATGTTCACCATTGATCTGAAATCAGGGTTTCCTAACTCCCCTAGGTGGATCCTCTATATCCATCAACCCGTTTGAAACAGCGGACATTCACTTGTCGTCTTCTGAATTTCGTGTACAACAATCGCACTGCGAGAAGGCAATGAGTAGGACTTCCCTGACAGTGGTTGTATGCACGTGGTCATGTGAGAGAATTTAGAGAGGGAGATCTGACTCTTCCCACTCTCCGCTGTACCAGGACATTTGTGAAGGGGAAATCATCTTGAAACCGATCCACGACACAGTAATCACTAAACTATGTCAAAACTTAGTTTCAAATTATTTTGCACCAAGTAGTTTTCAACTCTTTAGAACTAACGAATTTATATCATTCTACAAATTTCATTATTATTAGTTCGTTAAAACAATGACGGTAATTAATGATTAAACCAATATGTATATCCATATTCATTTGTACACATGCATACTGACAACAATTTACTAATTGTCTGAAGTTAGACATTAACACCATTGAATGCCGGCTCATTAGTCTAGATTTTAATTATTGGCACGCGATACCGATAGGTCCTAAGTTTGAATCTCACAAGGCGGGGTTATGGATACCCACTGCTGTTAAGTCCATACTAGAACGAAATGACCTTCTAGTGCTTCCAGGTTCTAAACAGGATACTCAATGTTTGTTGACAGAATACAATCAACAATAGCCTACTGTGGGAGAGAACAAACCAGCTTCCAGATGAAAAGGAAATCACGAAAAGTTATTGAAGATAGATAGGACACATATTGAGGAAATCATCAAATTGCATCATGAGGCAAGCGCTAACATGGAATCCTGAATAAAAACAGAAAAGATGAATACCAAATAACTCACCATATCGTGAATTAGAAGCATACATGAAAACCTGAAGCAACTTCTAAAATCTCCACACAATCCCTTCTGATAATAATAATCATCTGCTCACTAGTGACTGACTTCAAGAGATACTCCTGAAGTTCTAGTGAGAAACCGTTACCAGTGGAGTCCAACGAGGTCTGTTGTGAGATATCAGCTCACTGAAGACAATGGTGTACGGTGGCGCAACTTCGTGGATTGGTTGAAGCTAGACATTAACACCGTTGGATGCCGGCTCAGTGGTCTAGTTGGTTAAGCGCCTGGCGCGAGACTGATATGTCCTGGGTTCAAATCTCGCGAGGGGCGGGATCGTGGATGCGCACAGCTGAGGAGTCCCATACTAGGACGAAACGACCGTCCAGTGCTTCCAGGTTTTCCATGTTGGTCTAGCTTCAATGGATTCATGATTTAAACCAGTGAAACTTCTAAAATCTCCACACAATCCCTTCTGATAATAGAAATGGAAAAGAGTGTTCATGACAGATTTGGATGGAGAGTGCTTGTAGGCGATCTATGCTCCTCGATGAGGGTTAACAAACATAAGTAAATAATCAAATAACCATTTTGATATCATTTTCTTTTTTTATTAGATTTAAAATATTCTACTTTATTATCGTATCATTTAGTTGCCATGGTAATTAATAAAATCACTTTAATGATTGATTTATTAAAAGTTATGGTATTTCAAACAAAATGATTATTTCATTAGACATATTACACATGTGTTTTCAGAGAGAAAAAATGTCGAATCCCCTCCACCACCTCACATACACACAAAAGAAGAGGGAAGATATTCTCTTATTTCAATTGAATAACTTGCTATTCTTTTATTGTTTATTGGAAACTATGGATACCGCTGCGTTTTATTCAAACTATCGAGTTATCTTTTTTTGTTGTTGTTGTTGTTTTCTTATTAGACAGCTATTACAATATACTTTATATTTGTGTTTAATTAATGTCTATAAACTATTCAATTTACTTACATACATTATTATAAAACATCTTATTGTAATGTTAAATACTATGTCCCAATCAGTCAGATACAACGTAGAACCAAGCACATATATGCAACGGTTCAAGTTGCTACATCTCAATAACACAACAAGATGAACATGAAATTTATAGATGTACACGTTGAAGGATTCACTGTGTAGTTTGGAGCGAGATTTCAATAGACTTGGGACAGTGTTTCGCGGACTAGAATTATTGTCCATGGTGACATTTAAGGAGGAAGTCAAAAGAGGAAGTTTTGAGTTGAAAGTTGAGGTAGCAGAAATAATAGGAATTGAAGAGGGAGATTGATTATAAATACAGTGATATTGAGGACTGTTAGATGTATGAGGGCGCTTATCATTTCTCGGTTGCCCACACCGTGGAAGGGTTCTTCTAGTGGTACCCGGAAGAGAAATTGGGTTAGAAGTAGTCTTAGTGACCTGAGAGAGTGACCACAGTGCCCAAGGAACAACTGCTTGAAGTCGGTCGCACACGACCTTTTTGTGAGTAATTTTCGTGTTAGCTCCGTAATTATTGAGACCTTACAGCCGGAGACGGATATCCGTGGGATAAGGCGAGGTGTGCATTTTTAGGGTCAACCTTTCCCAGCCCCATGTTTCATTGTAGGAAGGCAGCATCTCTATTATACTGGTTGTCTAAAGTAAACACCTTACTGCCTTCACACCTCTGTACAGTCAACAGTACGACTTCGCCCTCAAACCTTGGTTTTGTTGATTTTAGTTAACAATAGTTAATAATAAATGGCAAATTATCACTAATTGTAAATATATTCATTTTAAATGTTTTGAAAGATACAATTAAAACGGTGAATGCTTTGCAAAAGCCATCATCCACAAGATACATGTGTTTATTAATAACTGTCTACTCAAAATACTTCGGATCCGTTTACCCACACACTATCAGCAATAACCTACTACTGTGGGAGAGAACGAACCAGATTCCAGTGGAGGAAGAAATTAGGAAGAAGTATTGAAAGTGAATAGGACACACATTGAGGAAAGCACCGAACTGCGTTATCACAAGGCAAAACCTCAATTGAAATACTCACGGTCAGAAGAAGAGAAGAGAAGGACGAAAGAACACATGACTTTGAGAAACGGAGGCGGATATGAGAAGAATGAACAAGAATTAGATAGAACTAGAAAAGAAGGCCAAGGACAGAGAGTGTGTTGGAGAATGCTGATTGGCGCCCCATGCTCCATTGGGAGTAACAGGCGTAAGTAAGTAAGTAAGTAAGCAAAATGAGTAATCAGTATAAAGCCAGGATCTGCTACTCCCTATCATTTGTCTTAATTCACTTAATGTATCATATTTATACTATTCTATTTCAAATTATTAATCTATTAATACCTTCCTAAACTTCTAATATCAAATCTCAAATGGTAAGATTCAATCATTCATAATGTAAAGTATTCACCAACCTACCTACCCACCTACCCACCTACCCAGCTACCTACCTACCTACCCACCTACCTACCTACCCACCTACCTACCCACCTACCCACCTACCCACCTACCCACCGACCTACCTACCCACCTACCTACCTACCATTATCAGATAAATATCATATCATATTGTTAAATTACTGAATGTGAACATTTTGAACCATCCAATTTCAAACTTATTGTCTAATGATAAACTAAACTATTCACCAAGATTCTTAAAATTGGTTCATTCCCTAATGAATACCTCTTAGGCTAAGATAAAATGAATAGTTAATCTTGTTAATGTTAATGTTTTATTCATTAAATGATTCCTGTATAAACTTGACTAATAATGTAATATCAACAAATAAGAATATAACATACAAAGGATTATTCAGCTTTCAGTATAGAGATTGCGGAAATTATTAAGGTATTGATAGAGATCATGAATGTATTAATATTAGATCATCATTGAAAACCTAGAATGGTTGTTTCATCCTACTGTGGAACTCCTCAGTAGTGAGTTTCCAAGTTCCTGATAATCTAGGAACTTCAGTTTTGTGCTCTTAACGTCTAGATCATTGAGTTGGCATCCAATGGTGTTAATATCTTGTAGTGTCGGTTGTTATTATTATTAAGCCCACATGTTTTATTCTAACTTCCGGACAGCCCAATCTATTCATTCTACTTGAGTCACATTCTGACGTTGTTCATTATTCACTTATCAATCTTGACTGTCTTTATATGAGCGCGTGGGTGTGTGTACACTTCTTATCCCACTGTTCATCACATGTCTGTAACTTATTTTTGTGTAACTATAATTATTGATTAACCCTTGCTTAAACGGGAGTTGGCTTACCAGCCATCTCCACCGCGCATCATTTTTGCTTCGCTTTCTTCTCTTCTCATCGTTCCTTAGTTCGTTTGTCTGGATCAACGATTATACAAAATTCATGTATTCGAAAGTCTATTCTCGTTATTCCGTTATTCACTGAACGCGATTTAAGTCAATGATTATATATGAGGATAGGCGATAGCAATCATTCATACGATCTATTTGGAGTCAGATCATGGGCCACTAAATTGTAGAGCCTTTAGACAACATCGTCCGATCTAAATGATTATACAAAACAGAGGCCCCCACAGTCTAACTGCAATGAATTTACGAAATTGCTTAACCATCTTCCATTGTACTGAAGTAGATATCTGTCTCTACCCGACATGGATTAGCTCCACTGACTCCACAACTTCTTACTAGAACTCCATGAATTCTCTTATGAAGTTAGTCACTACTTAATCAATTCATTATATAATACAATAAGTAAGATAAAAGTAAAAATTAAGTAGAGAATAAGTTGATCAAATTAAAAGTTACAGGACATAACGATTCACCCCCCCACCCCCCTTAAAGTAACAAAAAAGAAAAAAACAGGGAAAAAAAAGGAGAAAAATGTATATTCTAATTTGTGTATACATACATGATACATGTATGTAGGTAACCATTGGTAATAAATTATAAGAAAGAATAGTCAATAATAACTAGGGTTTTCTTTTTCCTACCAGATTAGATCTTACTATCCCATCTGTGTTTTCTTTTTGCATTCATTCATTCATTCATTCTTTCTCTGTATTAACTATCCATTAAATAGAGCAATGTTTAGGTTGAACAATGGAATTCTTTGCTCTCTTTCTCTCTTTGTCTTCCTCCCTCTCCCTCACTCTCTCTTACACCCTCTCTCTCTCCCTCTCTCTCTCTCTCTCTGTATGTATGTGTATTACTTAACAGCCATCTGTTGACATATAAAACTGTAAATATTTAGATTAAATATGGTTTTTTTTCTTTTATTCTGATGTTTTTATTATGTTGCTACCAATGAAAAATTCATCAGTTTCACTCATGAATATCAAGAGGTAAAACGAGAAAGAGATTAATCTTATTCAGTTATTTAAATAATCGATAAAGATCAACAAAAATTCCTCCTCCTCCACCTCCTACTAATACTACTACTACTACTACCACTACTACTACGACTACTACTACTACTACTACTACTACTACTACTACTACTACTACTACTACTACTACTACTACTACTACTACTACTACTACTACTACTACTACTACTACTACTACTACTACTACTACACCTACGACTACTACTACTACTACTACTACTACTACTACTACTACTACTACTACTACTACACCTACGACAACAACAACAACAACTACTACTACTACTACACCTACGACAACAACTACTACTACTACGACTACTTCACCTACGACAACAACAACAACAACTACTACTACTACTACTACTACTACTACTACTACGACTACTACACATACGACTACTACACCTACGACTACTACTACTACGACTACTACTACTACTACTACTACTACTACTACCAACACTACTACTACTACTACTACTACTACAATTACTACTCCTTCTACTAGTACTACTAATACTACTACTACTACGACGACTACTACTACCACTACTACTACTACCACTACTACTACTGCTACAATTACTACTCCTTCTACTAGTACTAGTACTACTACTACTACTACTACTACTACTCCTACTAATACTACTACTACTACTACTACTACTCATTATTAGAACTACATTCCTACTGTAGTGAATGTGAACACCAGTTAGAGACAACCAATTGTATTTGAATTCAATATTTCTGTAAAATTTGAGAACCATAAAGTAATTTTCTGAGACTTCGTTGTTTGTTTTTTGTTTCCATACCACTTATTCTGTTTTTTTTTCAATCGTCCCAACATTCTGCCTTCAGGCATTCCACTTTCGATTGGTGATACATAATACTTATGTCTGTCGACATCAGTAGCACACATCGCGCTACTACTAATACTACTACTACTACTACCGTTTTCTTGATGATCACCTTGTTGAATTCATGTCATTGGGTGTCATGTGAAGTGTGACACACTAAAATAATGGACGTTTATGCCTATATTTATGTTGTTATAAATGATTGACTAATTGATTGAACGAGATCATATATGTCAACTATTAACTTTAGTGTTCTATTGAAAGCAGTTACACTAATTTTACATTTACAATGTCATATATTCAATTTCCTATGAACAATCATTAGAACAATCTATATGGTTACTAGTAATGCTATCCAATTTACCAAATGGTAGTAGATAGAGTACTTTAACCGTTAAACCAACAATTCATCCTACATGTTTTAGGTTTACAATGAAATTCTAAACATCAAAGCATAGATTCAACCATGAATTGAGATGTCATAGGATCAAGATTGATAATAAACAAGTATGGGTGAATAAAAATGACAGCTAACCATTGCTTAAAATAATAATTTGTTCATAAGTCTTAAGCATAAGTTTCTCACTTACTTACGCTTGCTAACCCTCATGGAGGAGTGCAAGCCACCTGCAACCATCTTTCATTCAAATCTGTCCTGAACAATCCCTTCCAGTCGCTATTCATCCCTTTTATGTCTGCTTCCAATTCTTGACACAAGGTATTCTTCGTCTAATCATTCAGGATTCCAAGTTAGCACATGAGTCGTGACGCAGTTTGATGATTTCCTCAATGTATATCCTATCCACCTTCAAAATCTTTTCGTGATTTCCTTTTCATCTGGAAGCTGGCTTATTCTCTCTCACAGTAGACGGTTACTGATAGTATCCGCTCAACGGACATTAAGTATCTTTTGTAGACAATTTTTTATAAATACTTGTACATTATTGTTGATAGTTGTGGTAGTTCTTCACGTTTCAGTACCATACAGTAGAATTGTCTTGACGTTTGCATTGAAGATTGTGACTATGATGTTGATGTATAGACAGTTGTTATGAGTTCCATATTTTCTTCAATTGAAAGAATGCTGTCCTTACTTTGCCATTCCCCTTCTATCAATTTGCATCATATTCTCCTTATTCATCGATACTGCTACCGAGATACATGAATGTTCCCACCTTTTTGACAGTTTCTTCATCAAATTTGATTCAATTGGTTGAACAGAAGTTAACACAAGTTCAATGTGTATAAAACGGGACATTGGTTATAATGTATATTTTGTGCTAAGATCACTTTGATTGATTATTGAAAGTATCATTGAATAAGTCTATGAAAATAGAAATTTTGGTTGAAAATTACCCCATCGATAACAGAAATCAAATATTCTATATCTTTTCAATGGTTAAGATCATGAGTCAGTTAAAGCTAGACCACCATAGAAAACCTGGAAGCACTGGACGGTCGTTTCGTCCCATTGTGGGACTCCTCAGCAGTGTGCATCCACGACCTCGCCCCCTGAGAGATTCGAATCCAGGACCTACTGGTTTTGCGCGCGAGCGTTTAACCACTAGACCACTGAGCAGATCGGAGTCCAACGGTGTTAATGTCTAACTTCAACTAATCCAAGAAATTGAGCGACATATCCACCACATTCAATGCATCACAGTATTTCACAGTGAATTAACAGTGAAGTGAACTATTCATGACATCACAAATAAAAATCAATTCTCTCTGTTATACAAACTTATTTGTATAAGTTGAGTTTTGATAATATAGAAACGGTAACCTAATTTAATTGTTGAATTCATCAGTCAATAGAAGATAGATCAACATGGAAAACCTGTAAACACTAGATGACCGTTTCTTCCTACTATGTTACTCCTCAACAGTGTGAATCTATGACCCCGGCTCGCAAGATTCGAACCTGGAAACTATCAGTCTCGCGCAAGAACGCTTAACCTATATGTATATATAGACACACACACACACACACACAGATCTCACGAGGCGGGATCGTGGATGCACATTGCTGAGGAATGTCATACTAGAACGAAACGGCCGTCCAGTGCTTCCAGATTTTCCATATTGGTCTAGCTTGAATTGACTCATGATCTCAACTATTAAATAGTTTATTAACGAAATACTATTCGTGTACTGGTCTATTCTCATATAACAATAACAACCACCAATGTATCCATACCTATAATTATAATAAATATGTGTGATTATTACCTAATGGGAATTACCATTTGAATAACGATTACAGTTTGTTTCGATGATTCTATTCACTGATAAACATAACAATCTATACTATGTATAATGTATACTATGAATGTACAATTATGATTAATTATACAATATGGAATGTTATCATGAATTTGTTCATTCATATAAAAGTGTTTCTGTGTGTGTGTGTGTGTGTGAGGATGAGGGTGAGGGTACATGTGTGTGTGTGTGTGTCTGTCTGTATGTATGTATGTATTGTGCACTACTACTACTACTACTTATATCACTTAGAAATGACCAGAAAACAATAAAAGAAAACTAAATGGAATGGAATATATGACAGAAAATATCATGTGAATGTTGACGCCCATTTCTATACTACTTACTTACTAATAACGATAATCATAATCAGAATAATTTGAAATGAATAAAAATAGGCGTTACTATGAGAAGTAAAAACGAAAAAATAAAACAGAACAAAACAAAACAAAACAAAAACGAACAATTACTGTATGACTACTGTACTTTGTGTCACTTCTTCACTTCTCCTTCTTCTTCACCTTCACCTTCTTCTTCACGTTCACCTTCATCACCTTCTTCATGTATATACATGTTCTGATAGAATAAACTTGTTGTACACAATAAAATGGATTGAAGTGTACACGTTCATAAATGCACTGGGTTTGTCATTTATAGATTGTATAGATTGAAGAAAGGAAGAATAGAATGAAAGAAAGAAAGAAAATCATGTAATTTGATTTAGTGATTAATTAATTTCCAATGTGGCTTATTATGCTTATCTGTGTGTGTGTGTGTGTGTTATAGATAGTGTGTTGAATTATTCAGTTTTATATGATAAGTAGAAAGTGTGAGACAAATATGACTGATGAGAGTTAAGATGGTGATTGTAAGTAGTCAAGAGGACACTGTGCGATCTGGGTTTTGTGTTATTTGGCACTCGTCAATAAAATGTACCTGTAATGTTGAGGGAACTGGTGATCCTTGACGAATTCATTTCCGTGTCACCCAGTTTTACAGACATAGATGTTACTACTGGGTTATCTATGCCGCGAGTGACCTCCTGTAGGACTGAGATGCATTCAGAATTGATTGATCACTGGATGATGATCAATGTCATGTGGGTGAAGTCCTTCTTAGTGCATATCGAATGCTATTGACTAAGTGCCAAATGGCACGAAACCCGGGACATGGATTTCCTTTTGACTACCTCCAACCACCATCTCATCTCGACATAGTGCACGACTACTTCTACTACTACTACTACTACGACTACTACTACTATTATTACCAACACTAGTACTACTACGACTACTACTACTACTACTACCACTACTACTACTACTACTACTACTACTACCACTACTACTACTACTACTACTACTACTACTACTACTACTACTACTACTACTACTACTACTCTACTACTACTACTACTACTACTACTACGACTACGACTACTACATCTACGACTACTACTACTACTACTACTACCAACACTACTACTACTACTACTACTACTACTAACACTACTACTAATACGACTCCTACTAATTTCTTTGTTAATAGGGACAAAACGAATTCATGCGACAATAAATTTTAACTAAAAATTGTTTCTTTTTTAATAATTTAGTCACAGGGGACAATTATTTATTACATCCGCTTCCGATATAAAATTTATTCTAAAATAATTTCAACTTTTTCTTCAATTAAAATATCAATATAATATTTGACCATTGAATAGGATTATCTAGAGGCTATGAATCCACGTTATTCCGCCTTTAGTTCTTCTAGGATTATTGCCTATCTCAATCCCGGGTAATTAAAGAGAGTCAGGCATGCGGTTAACAGCCCCATCCTGTAGAAAATAATTTCTCAGCATAGAGTTCGTTGGAGAATGCTAGTATAGATGGCCTATGCTTCTCCACATGGAGTAACTGGTGTAAGTAAGTATGTAAGTATGAAGTCACATTTGATCATAATTTACTTATCTAATTATTAATAATCATTCAAAAACATGTTCAGTATAAAAAAATACATAACTATAATCCTGAGTGATTATAATAATAAATTCAAACATTATGCTATGATTAGTCAATTCACATGTTTCCAAGGTAAACCAATAATACGCATGGTTTATGATGTACACAAATCAACTTCCAGAGTTGAAATAACCTTCTTAAAATGAAAAATTATGATACAAATACTATTGTGTTTGAAGCGAACAGTATTGGGTTCGAGTCCCAGAGTGAACATCAACTCTGAGATGCAGGTACATCCAGCTGACGACGAGTCTTAAATAGGACGAAACGCGCGTCCTAGATTCCACTGTTAGCCACTATCCATCATTGCTTACTACATATTGAGAAGGGTTGAATTTGTTAATCGTAAAGCATTTAGCAGTATCTGAGGGTTTATAGAGATTGTTAAAATTTATAGTTTACATCATAGACCATTCATAGCTAATAGAACCAGACAATATCGGGAATTGATTGAAGTCGGATGCCAAGCCATTGATGTTAAGGTTAAACGTTCACTATTAGACCTGAAAGTCATGGATTCAACCCCTGGTAGGGTAA